TGGTGAGAATTGTCATTTCTCACCAGGGTAACAGCCCTCGAAAGGTAAGCGAGTGTCAAGGCTACTAGTACTCCTTGTATAGTATTACTGTTCTTGGGGTATTCCACTGTACCGTACCAGAAATCTATTTTCGGCTATGGATGCAGGAAGTAAAAATTCTGTTCTTGCTGGTACTGTGATATCGTCTTGAGGTATGATTTGCTGGACAGAGTTAAATCCTTCATCAATTCCGAATAGGGGTCCTCAGAAGCAGAATGCAGTTGATTATTTTTAAAGTACAAGGAAAAATTATATTTCCATAGAAGGTCTAATTCGAGTATGTAAGGATCCGTAATATTTGCTACAAATGCCGTGTGACAGTAAGCGGCATTTCCAACATGATGCTTACGTTTAATTTTCCATCGATGTCGATTTTATTCCCGGACGAAGTCCGGAGGGTAAGACAGGGCGATTCCAGAGGAGTTTACCTTCCAAATGTTGAGCCAGATCTTTTCGGATGATGGTAACATTGGCTCCTTTATCAATAATCATACATTAAGGAACTCCATAATATATTCCATGACAAGTTCCATTACTGCCGCGGCTCATTTCAGAAATCTGAAGCGCTTTAAAATGGGGCTTCTCATTGTCTGGCAACCTCCGTCCCGCAAGATGGCCACTAATTAGTTTCTCTCCTTCTTGCTGGGAGTGAACTTCCGTGCTTCGGAGTGTTCTGGAGTTCCTTCGTTTAACTTCCGCGCCCCGGGGTGTTCTGTAGGTCCTTCGTACGTGGTCTTCAGCACCGCAGTTCCAGCCTTTTAGAGTCGGTTTCTTGTCATTCCTACTCCATATTAAGACACTGACTTGGCGAGTTAAATCGTGTAGACCAGCGGTTTTCAACCTTTTCACTAACGCGTACCATCTAAACAAAAATTGAAAAACCTTTAGTACCACCACTACATTTTAAAATCATTATTGTTTAGTATCTGAATAGAAATATTGGGTTTTCATTCGCAGAGAACCCGTTGGCGCTTCGGTAAAGAACCCGTTGCATTTTTACTCGCCAAGCTCGCGGTCCATCGACAATAAGCCGAGCCGTAAACGTGATTTTTAGTGCATGTAAATTCAAGTTAGCAGACAAAACAATATATTAAGCATATGGTAGTAAAAATTCACAGATAATAAGCATGTAGAAAAAACTAACCGGTAAAACTAACTGGTTAACTATACGAAAATAGATTTGTATTAAATTTCAGTTAACACAGAAAACAATATTCCTTACACCAGCAGTGGTTTGCTAATTTTGATGACAATGGTGATACATCAAACTGTTCTGTCATCTTAGATAATCAATATTATTATTTATTTCAATTTAATCATCTATTTATGTCACACCTGCCATCCTCTGAAAGGTTACTGTTAGAAAAGCATTAACAATATATTATCTTGTTAAAATTTTACACCATAAAAATTGATTTATTCTCATAATTTTAGATGACAATAACCAATAATAAAAATAAAAGCATTACTTAATTATTTAAAATGCACATGCACATTTTTGCGGGGTAAGGAAACAAATTATTTTAGAGGTTGGAAACCTCATGGTTCTTAGAGCTGTTAATAATTAAGAACACAACGTGAACAGCCGTGTTACAAATTAGCATTCACCCCTCCGCCGTATTTTCTTCCTTTCATCCCGAACCGAGAACTGGCATCGATCAACGAAAATATTTCTATCTATTCGTTGTGAAAAAATTCAGAAAAAAATAATAATAAATAAGAGAAGAATAATATAAATCTGCAAATACGAATAACGACACTGATAATTCAACAGAATCAACGCAATTGCAAACTTGGAACAAGCAAGTAGGATAAATCCGCTGGATTACCAGGTTTGAGGTATTATCGCCAAAGTTGGCGATGTTTACATTTACCGGGTTCTCTGCGGAAGTGCTTCCGAAATATTAAATAACAATAATAATAAAATCTGAAATCTTTCAGATTTTACATTACGCCCAAAGGAACGCTTTTTTAACCTTTTGTGTGCTACCTTTACTTATTAAATATCATGTTCTTCGCACTTAAACCATAAAATTCAATTCGACAGCAATACCACAACAGAAATTTAAAATGAGCATTATCTTCAGAATTTCCGATACACAGTCTCGTGCGCTGGAGATAAATTATTTATTTATTTTGTGCAGTTTTGTCATTGCTCGCTTTGAAATCGTTGAGTTTGTTAATCAAAACTTCGTTGTAAATTTAGTTTCAGGTGCGACATTCTTTATTTGAGAAAGCTCTCCGGAATGTTTTCCTGTTAAAGCCCGAACTCCGTCATTGCATACGGCAATGCACTGAAGAAGAAATGTGAATATCGTGAAGAGAATGAATACGGCATTCAAAGGACATTCTCAGACATAAAAATTGTCAATTACTTTGAAAATTTCACTTGCAGTTGTTCTATCATGAAGAGATTCACAAAATAAATACTCTCCAGCAATTCGTTTATCTTCTTCGAAACGTATACAAACTAATAACTGAACAAAGTTCGTTATATCAGTACTTTCACCCAACTGCAATGCGAAATACTCACTGTGATTTATTTTTTGAATGTCTCTTTTATGGAATTTGTCATTTCATGAACTCGTCGACTTACTGTATCATTTGATGACGGAATATTATAAAATTCATTAGCCTCTTTTTCTTGAAAAGTGTTAAAACGATATCTTTAGCTAGTGGTAATGTAAGTGAGCCTGCCCAGTCTTAGCAATTTTTAGGCTTACCAGGTAACTAGCTTCGAAAGCTTTTTCACTTGAAGTAACAAAACCTTTCATTACTTATTCATTCAGAAGTCAAACAACAAACAACAATCTTTCATTACTTGTCTACTATTTTTTAACTCCGATAATTTCCTTTTAAAATAGCCTTCAGATTTATCCTTTAAACGCTTAGATTCAAGATATCTTTTAAGAGACGACTTTGATTGGATAATAGTTCACTCTAAATAACACATTGAGGTTGCGGGTCCATTTCGTCTCCATTCCAAGTGAATCCAAATGATAACCTTCATTATATTTTCTAGAAACATTTTTCTTTTCAATATTCTTAGTGCTAGTACATTGTCCTGGATTCATTACCTGTGAATCGTCACTTTCCCGCTTAGTCAAACCTAGGCATGTTTCCATTTTGAACACCTAAGTTTGTTTTATTATTTTTTCACAAATATTTAAGTGCACAATATATTAAGAGTTCTTCAAAAACATACGACGATAATTCTCAAATCGCGTACAAAAGTAAGGAATAGAAAGCAACAAGACAAAATAACTGCTGTTAGAGAGAGCAAACCGACGTTAAAAAATTATTCTCATTGAAAATGGAGCAATATGAGCCCGGAAATCGCGACATGTAAAGTGCTGACATGCTAATAAATCGATAAACTCTAAAAGAGAATTAATAAGACCAGAGTCGTAGCTAGGGTTTTCAGCGCCCAGGGACAGCTGAAGACTTCGGCGCCCCCTACTGCTTGCCAAGGATGGAAAACATTTAATTCTAAAATGCCGCAACATCAGTTTGGCACACCTTGGATTCTGCGCCCGGGGGCAGATGCCCCCACTAGCTACGCCCCTGAATAAGACACAATTATCTTTTTTATATGAACCAATTTTTATTTCCTATTAAGTACAGCAACCATTTCTATCACGCTTTTTAAAAACATCATTTATGGCAAATTTTGTAATGTCTACGTCAAAAAGAATATTTGTGAAATGTAGAACATGGGAGAACCATGAAAACTGTCATGCAGACAGATCGTTTGCCTCTTGCTAAAGTCTATAAGCGGCTATTGACCTTGAATAAAGCTCCGCATAAATTTAGGAGTGTTGGAGAAAAACCTCAATCAGGACGTCGGGGTTTTAAATTTTGAACTTAATATTTAAAAGTACTTTGCTTCTTTGCGTTCCACCGGTTGAGAACCCCTGGTCTAGACGATCAGTTACTTGATCAGCTGGCTGTTAAATTTGAGCAACTCTTATTGGGTAGCGGTTTGTACAAACTGCTTGCTGGTCTGCCTCCAACTTCATGGCGTTATTTAAAACGCTTTTATATCATTGACATCAGACATTATTCGCAGGGCTTTCTGTATCTCAGAACAACAAGAATAAACAAAATGTATTTCTGCATTAATTGGCTAACTGTAATTTTAAACATCATAAATACAAATGCAAATTGTTTATAATGTTCTTGGAAGTTAGAAAATAAAAACTTCTGAAGTTTTTGATTCAAAGTGCACAATCATGACAATCTAGAGTGATGAACTATACAAATATAGCTAAACACACTAGGCTTTCACTATTTTCATGAATTTCACACAGATATGGACATGCCTCATTGATTACAGATTGACTGGCTATGCTTGATAAGGTCATCTCAAACTATGCCTATTTTGTGCTGTAACGTTCCCCTTCTTTGAAGAACACTTGGTCACCCACCCTAAAAGAAGGGACAGAGGACCCTCTTCTCGCCTCCTCCAGGAGAGGGGACTAGACTTCCCCCCCTGGTTGCAGGTGGGAGAAAAGAAAGATTGAGACGTGAAAGAGAAAAGAGCGGATGCTGGCTTTGCACGCTGAAATGAAAATGTATTTGAAAGTTTTTCTAAAATGTAATCTGTACATAGTTGTATATATAAATAAATATTTAGCCTAGAACAGGTCTTGTTTATTTGGCGGAGATATGACTATGGTACAGTGCCTTGAAATAATGGTGTTATTTTCTAACAATAGCCCTTATCATCATACTCATTGCTTAAAGTTGTACCCTGAATTAACTTTCTAAGACAAATAAATACTTATATGATTCATTTACTTACGAATTTACTTGATTAGCAGTCTATTTTTTTAAAAATTAGAAAATACTGCTAGTTAACAAAGCTTAAAAAAAAAAAAAAAAAAAAAAAAAGTGAAATTTTTGCCAGCATTTTCCATATTTCAGTTCATTTATCTTTAAATCTCATACATAAATAGAAATACTTCTATATATATCCAAAAATTTTAATGAGCCACTGACAATCCAACAGTAAATATCAGAGTTTAGAAAAGTAACACTGAAAACAAAAACATTTTAAGTAGTGAATGTAAATTGGAATGCCTGTATTTTGAGACCAGCTACAAAGCAAACCAACACAAAAATATAGTATTTCAAAGAATAAATGGAATGATAGCTTTTCTGTTCTTGGGATACTTGGGGAATTCCTTTTTATAGTTGCGGTGTTTTCCGAGAGCCCATACGGTCATCTGGTACAGCCCCGCCAAAGTAAAGAGACCAGCTGTGAGAAAAAAAATTAAATTCAGTATTGGTAATGTAACAGAAGTAATCACACTGTATTAACCTTCATAGTTAATGCAGAATAAAACTGAAAATTTTAAAGACTATTTAAGAACAACTGCTTTTTGACAACTTCAAGTTAAAGAGCTATGAAGACCTAGAGGTCAAGTACTTTTAAATATATGCCAAAAATATAATACATTTTAAACCTTAAGATTCAAATTTCGTAATCATAAACCTGTTAATTACAAATAATTATATTAGAATTTCTCTTTACTGGCACAACAGAACCTTCTAGCTTCTGGATAAGAGATTTTTCTAGATAAATGAATGTATATTTCTAGAATTTACCTGGCCACCTATATGGTATAGTAATTAGTGGAGTCAAATGAGATACCGAAGGGTCTGAGTTTGAATCCCAGAGAACACATGGATACAAATTGTCTGTCCTCTCATGGGGGTAATGGTGGCTGCCTATTAGGTGCTCCAGAATAAAATGGCTGCCACTTCTGGCCTTAGGAGTGGTCAATTCTAGAAAAACAAGTGCCCGCCGAAAAGAAAAAAAAAAAAAAAGAAGCATTTACCTGATCATGTTTTGTGATGCAATGTGTAGAAATTACAATGTACTAAGTCTGTTGCTCATGGTTTTTGATTTACCAGCCACAATTAAACACAAGAGGGAAAACAATTATAAACTAATGGCAAATGTATTAAACTCACATTTCTAACACCATTGTTCACTCATCGCTAATTCAAACCTGTTTGATCTAATTCTTTATGCCAAAGCAAAGACCAAGGAATGTTTATGTCCCACCACATTAAAAATTTCATATCAATGCCAACAGCTTTATGCAAGTCGACAACTATTCACTTAGATAACAGTCTTCATGTGGGTGTCCCAGCATCTTAATGAAGATTGCATTCTTTATGGTCAAACTGGGTTTCATAATGGTGCTAGAGACCAATTTGCAAAAGGAGACAGCACCTTTACCCTAGTTGGCAATTTTTCACTTGGATAAAAATCTTCACATGCAGTCCAGGCATCTCATTGAAGATCACATTCTTCACAGAATGAACTCCTTTCATAAGGATACTGGGCATTTTGTAACAAACTTGTGAAATGTGCTAGCACCTTTACAACCTAATAGGAAATTATTCACTTGAATAAAATTCTTCACGTGGCATCCAGGCATCTTGATGAAGACCACATTCTTTATGGTACAAACTGAATTTCATAAAGGTGCTGGCCACCCCCATGTCTTGGCAAACAATGACCAATGTGTAAAAGGGTGCTAACACATTTTATTATATTTTGGCATAGGTACAGACTGTGCCAGGTTTTTAACACCGAAAGATGTGATAAAAACCTGGCATAGTTCAACTTACGGCATAGTGTTCAATGGTTTTACCCATTTCTTCACCAATGAACTTTCTATAAACTCAAATAAACTGCAAAAATCAGGAAGTTGGGGGTTTTGATATGTAGACTATACAGCCTATGTTAAAATTAGCAAACCTAGACTTTAATTAAACAGATACCTAGCCAAAATTTGCATAAATTAAAATTAATAATAAATTGCCAGTATCTAGCATGGTCATGAAAAATTACAAAATTTATTTATCTACCTGGTAAGCACTGTGTCATTACAGAAAATGATATCCAGGACAGAACTTCATACGTGTAGTTGGGACAGGAAACCAAGTTGAAAAGATATGTAAACGGATTGCCAGTTGCAAGAGGAATTTTTCTCTCTGTACTTCCTGTTAAAAAAATTACTCAGTCAAAAACATTTCTCATGTTACATCATTCTTGATTAGAAAAAGTACTTCAGATATATTTTACCTGCAGGTCGCAGATTGCGCAGAGCAAGGTGAATACTCAAATTTCCCAACTCGGCAAACTGTAAAGAAGACAGAAGGAAATATATATATAAAAATATAAGAGAAATATAATAGTATAAGAATAATTTAATCAAATTAAATTTAAGAGCTATACAATCAAAACATAAAAATATAAGAGTATAAAACGTACGAGTATGAATCAAATGTAAGAATATTCATACAAAACAGGAGTAAAAAATTTACTTTCACTTTAATGCTTTTGAATCGTATGATTACGCAAAGAAAATTAAATGAAAAGTCATGCAATAAGTTCTTTTAAGATAGCAAGAGAAAAAAATTTAGCTGACAGTGGAGAGGTATGTTTGTTTCCTCTTATATCCTAGCTTTTATGAATAGCATGCAGCCGGATGTTATGAGTGTGTGCAGGTACATTCTGGCACATATGTCAATAAATATTAACTCAACAAATGGCACTACATTCAGGTTGCTTTATTCTGCTGTTGCTTTTGATATAAATAGGGTAGCTGCTCCTCCCATTTAAGCAGGATTTTTTCCTCCCTCAAGAAGAAGGACCTGTAGCTGACACCTTCAAAACTAGAAGTGTTTTATTCAAAATCTACGCTAAAATAACGTTGCTGTTCTGCCTAATTTTAAAGGTTTGGTTTATTTTAAATAATCAAATAATTAAAAGTTATATTAATAGCTAATAACATAAGTATTAATGCAGATATCCATAGTTACTGAAGATAAAGATATCGAAGGCACTTGTTGTACAGCATGTAGCTAAATCTGGTACAGTATCAAAAGCACTGTTTATTTTAAACAAGATTGTGGAGTTGGTAAGGAAATTGACCAATTCCAGCTCATGGAATTTTAAAGACTCTGACTTCTTCATAGAAATGTAAACATACACATAGGTTACAGCTTATTTTTTTAATATAAAAGAAGCAATGGATGATACAGAAAAAAAAAAAAAAAAAATTATTGCATAGCAGATTATTTATATTAATGAGCGTTATTATGAAATGGAAAAACTACCATTAGTAATTTCTAAGAAACAGTATAGTTTCGACAAGCTCTTCTTCGATAAAGGACCATAGATCCGATTTGATAAACTTCAGAGCCGAGATTAGTTTTCCACACAAATTGTATTTTAATTCTGTTTTCTTTATATATATATAAGCGGTTTAAATGTTTGTCGTCGATAGTTTATTGTTGTCACTCAGAAAAACGAGCATGGAAATAAACGTTTCCGCAGTTTTTAATTAATATTTCGCCCGATTGAAGTCGTACGAAGATAAGAATGGTATCGATGGATTCGGAGAATTTTTTGGAATCCGAGGATACGCGTCTCGAATTTCAACTTGGCGCTGTTCTGTAGATATTCGAGAAAAAAGAATTTGGCACGTAGCCAAATCCCTCTAATAGGGAAAACCCAAGAAAGAAAGTGGAAAATGTAGGGGAAAATTAGTTTTTAATTAATATTTCGGCTTCGGCCCCACGAAGACACGAATGGTCAAAATGGTGTGCCATGGACCTGCAGAATCCAACGATGTGCTTCACTAAACCCCGGAGCCAGCCGTTTCGGAGAAGATCATGTTACTTCACCCATATATATATATGCGGCTTAAGTGTCTGTTTGTCGCCGATAGTTTATTGGTTGTTTGCGTAACTGTACTAGCCAATGGAGTAAAGTTGCCATGGCACAGGGATGCCGTTTCAATTGACAATTTCCTGTAAAACTTGCCTTTGCTATAACCATCAATAAGTCTCCCGACCAAACGCTTAAGCATGTTGGCATTTTTTTACTTGAGCTTGCATTTGGACATGGTCAACTTTATGTTGCCAGTTCAAGAGTTTGTGAAAGAACGGAAAATAAAATTAAAAAATAATTGATAGTCCTCTGCAAGGCAAGCTTAAAAATGATGGAAAGATCTACACAAGAAATGTTGTGTACAAAGAGATCTTTGACATGTGAATTAACATTTTATTATTTAAATCACCTTTATTTACTGAGCTAGCTGTGGCTTTTAAGAAATGTACCACCAGTGGTTTCCTTCATTGCACTCTACTTTAAGCAATTAAGCAAGAAGGGGGAAATCCCATGGGGCAGTAAGCAAAGGGGCGTCCTTGCCGCCTGCCCTGGGTAATTCAGTTTCAATTAGCAGACACCTTTGCACAAATCATATTTATTGAGCTAGCGGTGGCTCTTAAGAAATGTACCACCAGTGGTTTCTTTCACTGCACTCTACTTTAAGTAATTAAGCAAATAGAAGGGGGAAACCCCATGGGGCAATAAACAAAGGGGCATCCTCGCCGCCTGCCCTGGGTAATTCAGTTTCAAATCATTTTAATTACAATTTATAATATCTAGAACAGCGGTCATTTTGTATGACTGCGAGCTTTCTAGTTGGAAATAACTAAATACACTACAGCATCAAAAATAATTGAAATACAGTTGAACTCCACAATAATGAACTTAATGGAAACAAAAATTTGGTTTGCTATACCGAATCACGTAAAAAAAAAAAAAAAAAAAAAAAAAAAAGAACTATCTCACAATATAGAGTAAAACTTGATTCAAGAATCACGCAGAAAGAGTGATTAACTTTGTTACATCTCTCAAAAGATGTTAACAGTTAAACACCTTAAAAATTAATTACAATTATTATTACATGCAGTTACTAAATTCTTTTTCATTGCTTCCAATTTCACCAAAAGCTAATAATTTTTACACAAAATATTACTTAACATAAAAGTTAACACTTGGATGCATCCCTCCCCTTACACATCTCTATCTAAAATATGCATTTACAATCTTGAACAAGGATCAGCATTTAACAAGATTGCTATCTGATAGCTCAATCAAAGAACTACAATGTAAACAAAATACTGATTCAAGCTCTTTGTCTCAAGAGATTTTTTGGCTCCAAGTGTGACAAAGTAAGATCTCTTATGACAGTGATCTCAAACTAGTGGCCTGAGGGTGACATGTGGCACTCTGATGCAATCCATGAAGATAGTATTTCAGTTATGTATCTCTTGCACATACAGTGTTGTAAAGATTTGAGTTACTTGAAGTCTTGAGTTCACATTATTTTCATTTCCCTTACAACAAACTTGACTAATATACCAAAAAATCTATAAATACAGCTAATTATTTACAATGTGATATAAATCTTATTCAAAGATTTGAAGATACAGACACTTAACATTTATTCGTACTTGTAAAAAAATAATAAATTCAGTTATAAATTTTTGCACTAAGAATAATTGTTTTGTTCAGGAATCCATTTACATATGAAAAGAGTTTTTTCATAGTTGAAAATTAATAAGAAAAGAATCCTATTGACCAATCAGCACTGACAAACTGTGATGAAGAGTATCAAACTGTAGTAAGAAATAAAAAAATTATAATTATTAACATACAAACATGTAATTTTTTTTATGCATTGAAGAATCATTTCATAAAAAAAGTGAGTGAGACTAGGCTTTTGTTATTTATACTCAAATTTGTCTTTCTTGGTAAATTTTTTCTGAAAACTTTTCAAGTAAGATATTAAATGATTAATTACATATGTTAGAATTATTCGAAAGAAATGACGGTCTAAGGATTTCATACTTCAAAGTCTAAGGTCTAAGGATTCATACATATTCAAAGCGTAACCAACAAAAATATCTTACTGGTACCAAAATTACAGTTTTTAGATAAAAAGATAAAATATAAATTTGAATTCTTTCCCCCCCTTTTTTTTGTGTGTGTTAATGTATGTTTTTGATAAATATTTAGTAAGATTTAAAATATTTCTTATTTTGCAAAAAGAAAACTGTTTATCAACTATTTTCAGATTGTGCGTTTGGACCCACTTGCAATTTGAGTTTGAGACAACTGTCCTAAGTCACTGGTCTAAAACTAGCAGCCTGCATGCAGCTCCCACAGTAACATTATGCAGCCTACGAATATATTTTAATTTGTTGCAAACACAGCGTTGCAATAATTTCAAGATTTTATTTATTTCAGGTCCTAATTTATATTATTTTTCTCACCATTAAAAACAAATACAGTCAAAAGTCGTTAATTCGGACACCCATAATCCGGAATGATCTATAATCCGGACCTCAAAGCTACAAACTTTCTGCGCATGCGTCACGTCGACCTTTACGGCTGTGAATAGGTGTGTGCGCATGCGCAAAATACGTTTACTCATGTGTGTTTAATGTATAATGGACGGTATAAGCTAAGCTAAAATTATCTAATTCAGTTAATGTTGCAGATTGCGTTGTTCCTTAATCTTCGAATAGGATACGGCTTATTATTTTTTGCAGACTGTTAGAGCAATTTTATAAAAGTAAGCTTGAACTTTTGATTATGTCAAATAGAATTTACGATATATATTTACTAATATGTAAAAGATCTACCAAAGAGAAAGCATGTTTTGAAGTCCATTAAACAAAAGTTGCATTGCTGCAAAAAATGACCTAACCATTCAAAAATTGTTTATCTATTTCATGCTGCTCTGTGGTGGGGGATGGGGGGGGAACTGCGCGCAATGAATTGGAAGTTGATCTGTCAGCAGTATCCGTATCTTCAGGGCAGATGTTTTCAATGCCGCAGCGCACCATTAAATTGGAAGTTGATCTGTCAGCATTATCCTTATCTTCAGGGCAGATGTTTTCATTTTATTTGGCTTATAATTCCTTACTAAATGTAGTATTTCATCTCGATGTATTCCGTCTTTGATATGATTTAAATCAAATTCCTCATCATTATAAATATCAGGAATACACATAAAATAGTTTTCTGGTTGCAATTTTCTAATTTCGACTATGCGTAATGTATGCTTTACACATGTGTGCGTTGAAAGAAATGATGGATTGAGTTGCCAAGCAGCTTGGTTTCGATTTTAAACATTTAAAGCTTGGCACAATAAACAAAATTTTCAATAACTATGGATTTTCAGGGGATCAGACACAAGTCCTTCTTCTTAAGGAGGACTGCAGAATAAAAAGAAATTCTTTAAAAACACATATACAGTCAAAAGTCGTTAATTCGGACACCCATAATCCGGACCTCAAAGCTAAAAACTTTCTGCGCATGTGCCGCGTTGACGCATGCGCATAAGCGTTTTTAAGCGTGCGCGTAAGACCTTTACGACTGCGCATTTGCGTGTGCACAAGCGCAGAATACGTTTTTACTGCGCGTTTAATGTATAATGGACGGTATAAGCTAAAATTATCTAATTGTCTATTTCAGTTAATGTTGATGATTGCATTGTTCCTTAATCTTCGAATTGGATTCGGCTTATTATTTTTTGCAGACTGTAAGAGCAATTTTATAAAAGTAAGCTTGAACTTTTGATTATGTCAAATAGAATTTCCGATTCTGGAGCTGCCAAAGGATCTACAAAGCGAAAGTATATTTCGATGTCCATAAAACAAAAAGTGAAATTGCTGTAAAAAATGGATAAAGGCATATCCTTTGTTTCTCTAACCATTCTGAAATCTGTTTATCAATTTCACGCTGCTCTGCGGGGGACGTTGTGGCGCGCAATGGATTGGAAGTTGATCTGTCAGCACTATCCTTATCTTTAGGGCAGATGTTTTTATTTTATTAAGCTTATAATTCCTTACTAAATGTAGTATTTCATCTCGATGTACTCTGTCTTTGATAGAATTTAAATCAAATTCCTCGTCATTATAATTCACCTCCAATAGTGAAGAAAGTGACACAGAGGTTATTGAAAACGAAAAAATTTCGATTGGCAAATTAGTTGGTATTCTCGACACAGCAATTATAGGACTTGAACAGCGGAACTTTGTAACTGAAGAAGAAATTATGTCTGTTTATAGAATTAAGAGAAAGTATTATCACATAAAACGAAGCAAACAACTTACATTGAAAGAAATGTTTAATAAAGTAAACAAATAAATATTAAGCCTTTTTTTCTTTTTTAATTTTGATATCCTTTACATCATAATTGCTCTTTATTTCATAAATTACGTTTTCATATTTTTAATTTTATAATTTCTGCATGCCATCTTACCAGATTTAAACAATTAGCAATTTTATGAAAGTAAGCCTGAACTTTCGATTATGTCAAAAAGAATTTCCGATTCTGAAGCTGCCAAAGGATCTACAAAGTGAAAGCATGTTTCGATGTCCATCAAACAAAAAGTGGAATTGCTGCAAAAAATGGATAAAGGCATATCCTTTGTTTCTCTAACCATTCCGAAATCTGTTTATCAATTTCACGTTGCTCTGCGGGGGGAGGTGGGGGAAACGTTGTGGCGTGCAATGAACTGGAAGTTGATCTGTCAGCACTATGCTTATCTTTAGGGTAGATGTTTTTAATTTATTTGGCTTATAATTCCTTACTAAATGTAGTATTTTATCTCGATGTACTCCATCTTAATATATTTAAATCAAATTTTATTGATATGATTTAAATCAAATTACTCGTCATTATAAATATTACGAATACACGTCAAATAGTTTTCTGGTTGCAATTTTCTAATTTTGACTATGCGCAATATATGCTTTATGCATGCGCGTGTTGAAAGAAATGTTTAACTCCTTCACAGCCCTACAATGAAACAATCAGAAACGGCCGAGATTGCAATCTTGTTTTCTTCCCTCCTCCTCCTTCCTTTTCTTCCCTCCTTATCCGAGATCGTAATCTTGTTTTCTTTCCCAAATGCATTGTATAAGTTACTCTTAGGACAGCTTGTCCTAAGAGGTTTCCTATCTTTTGTTTGATCGTGACATTTCGTTGTTGATTCTTTTGTGGAACAATGTGGTTTTAAGCTTTAAGCAGCAATAAAAGAGCAGTTTAAAAATTTAAGGATTATATTTATTTTTAAACAATTTATTCTTCCTATAAAAATAACGGAAATAAACAAAATCTCAGTCGTGATCATAACAAAGTCGGAAAGGCTTCTTGGTCTGACCTTCAGAATAGTTTTATAAAGAACGGGGTCAAAGGCTAATGCTCTCTCTCATGGCTCTTCATACCTATTTTTTGCGTCAATGGACAGGGAGGGGAGGAAATTGCTGTGAAACGGGAAAACTATTTCGGGCAGTCCGGTATTTTGAGGATACAGGTTAGCGAAAGGTCTGGATTTCAAAGAGTTAACAAACTAAACAATTAAATATTAAGCTTTTTTTTTTTTTTTGGTAAATTTTGATACCTTTAGACCATAATTGCTCTTTATTTCATAAATTATGGTTTCATATTTTTAATTTTATAATTTCTGCATGCCATCTTACCAGATTTAAATTGATGATCTATAATCCGGAATCGCCGAAGTTCCGACGAGTCCGGATTAAAGACTTTTGACTGTATAAGGATAGTTTATAGATGACAAATATACACAATGTGTGGCATATGATGGCCAATAGATAATTACTTGCCACATGCCAAAAAGCATGGCTAGTGCATAACAGAAAAGAATTCTGTACATGTACTTGAAACTATAATTAATTAACATTTAAATAACTGTTCATCTACATCTAGGAACCAAACCATTTGTTGATCCAGAGGCTAAATGATTCTGCTATCTTTGGCCCTGCAAAGAAGAGAAAGGCATCCAAAAAGGAACATGGTTTCAGAACTTATGCATTCCATTTTCCACCAACCTATGATTTAATTATTTATAGAGAGAGGAACTGACTTTTATTGATTTTTGTGAATGACAGCTTCAGTTAAATCACAACATGACAATGGGCTGGAACAATTATCTCCAACAGGTTTATTGCAACTCCTTGAAGAGTTTTGGTATGAACAAAACTGTTGAAAACTTGTTAACAAAATGGAAACATAACACAAGTCATGTATTGTACACACCCTCCATAGTAGGTTTTCTGAGGTTTCTGTAGAGAAACGGGAGAATGCTTTAGTTGCTATTCCAGATGGCTCTGTTAAGACTTTAATGGATGCAATACAGAATAACATATCAGATGGACTGCAGGATTCTTCAGAGTGAAGCAGTCTTTTAATTTTATTGATCCAGTTACGAGCTGTCATACCCAATCTATCTTATGTTTTCAGAGCAGTGCTAAATGGCAGAATAAATGCTAAAGAGGTATTGTCTGACAACATTTTGACATTACTCGACAGTTACTTAGTAGAATTCATGTGGTGCCGTCTACATGTGAAGGCTGAAATGTTTTCTGTCATATTAGTGGATATTTGTAAATTTATGTTTTTTGCTTAGTGCCCCCATTTATATCAGCTTACGCTATTTCCTAATTAAGAATGAAAAATTCTATATAAAAATAAATGCTATTTGTAATAACAAATTGCTACCTAAAAACTATTCTTCTATGCTGTCATTATTTATTCTCAAGTTTTTATTCCACTTAAGAAATTTTCTTCAAAAACTTAGAAATTTTTTATTATTTGTTGATTTTTAGTTTAAATTAAAGTAAGTTGTATAATGATTAGTGAAACACACCAGATTTATTTGAAATAAATGTCACATTGATATATTTAGTGTCAATATGTTTGAATTATAGAAAGTATCTTGTGAATACCAAACGTTAGATTTCAGACAGAAAATAAAAGTAAATAACATTTTTTTCCCATTGTGCTGTTACTATAATTTATGTACGTTTTGATAAATATTTAATACAAAAAACTTAAAATTTATTTATTTGATAAAAATTTTTAATTCTGCTAAAAGATTTCTTGGAATGTCAGCTGTCTTCAGATTGTGCATTTGGCCCACATGCAATTTGAGTTTGAGACCACTGTCCTAAGGTATGTTTATTGTGTGTTCTGGTTTTCAGTTGAGCACTCTACCTGCTTACGGTTCAGAATACAGAGAAAGGTAGAGGTGAGGACAAAAGAAGTGTTTTTTTTTTTTTATTTTTATAGTATTAAACAGAAAGAATTTGAGGGTAAGTAATTTTTTAGTTGAACACTGCAGAAATACTGGAAAAAAGAAAAATTTTAAAAAATGTCACAGTACCCAGAAAGTTTTTTTTTATATCCAATTTTTATACATCTGAAAATTTGTTATAGCCATATAAAATAAAATTAAGTCTACAGGAAAGTAGACGGGAAAAAAATTTATTCATTATTATCCAGAGGGTCATAAGCTGAGTTTACTATAATGCAATTTGAATTCAGTAGTCTTTTACAAAAGTAGCATGAAAAATTTGAATAATAGTTCCAGAACATTTTGTAATCCTAACCAAAATAAACTGATGTGTGTATTTCATTCTATGTACATCACTCAACCAGCTTTACTTTTATTTTCTTCAGTAAAATTAGTTTTTATTTAGATTAAATTTCATTATTATTTAGTACATTATACTGCATAAAAATAAAGAATTCCCAAGTGCTAGCAAACATTCGTTGAACAGTAAGATGGTATTTCCTCAAAACCTTAAGGCTGATCTATGACAACATCTGATTGTGGTATCCTTGAACAGTGCATTCACTATTCATTATTGAGTATACGTGAGGAATGTTCTTATATCAGCATTTAAATTTTGTGGTATATTAACGTACACTCTTTCTTACAGTAAATGTTTTCTTCCAACTAAAAAATCATCCATGAAATTTGTGTAAAAAGCACTGTAACTACAGGGAGTTGATTTGGAAAAGATAAACACAACATATTAAAAAAGACCAAAGGAATTTAGAAGCAATGAATACCAGAGTATAGAAAATGAACTCCTATTCTTTTAAACGTTATTTAAATTTATATATTTAAAAATCTGATAAATTTTAGCAAGCGATTAAGTTATGAAAGGGGATACTTACGACAAAACCAGCAAGACCAAGATACATTTGAACATTACTATAACCTAGAAAAGTACACAAAATTAGTATGGAAGAGGTATTAAAACTTCTAATAAATGAAATAAAATAAACCTTTTTTAATTGCATCCAAACACAGTTCTCATAAGCAACATTTTAACTATATTTTTTAAAAATTTCATATACATCTTTCTATATCAAAGGTTTCCATATAAACACGCGCAATTTGTACGAAAGGAAACAAACATTTGCATAAATATGCATAGTTAATAAAATAATTACTTACTAGGAGGTGTGTACAGAGGATGATTAACATAGTAGCCAATGTACAAGCCAAATAACCAATAGTAGGAGCAATTCTAAATATGGGGGAAAATATAAATATTATATCTTTACCACATGAAAAATATATTAAACTTTAAAATTCAGGTAATCTAACCTATAGCTTTCAATCCTTTTTTTAAAAAATATTTCATGCTTTTTTTGTTCAATTTTCATTCTAAATCGTTACTGGCAGGAACAGCGAAGCTGGTCTGACCAGCAGTCAACTAACATAACATAAAGATGTCAGGCACATTTTGTAAGCTAATCATGAGACTAGCTACTCTTTCTTATATACATTCTATGACCCCCCCCTCCCCCCCAAAAAAATTAAGCGCCAAGAAAGTGTTATCTGAATGGGACAAAAATATGTACACTGCTCAAAAAAAAAAAAAAAAAAAAAAAGGACAGTGCTATATCTCCCGTTCTACTGGGGCGATTCACGAAATTCAAATTGCGTTCTTCATGTCTCGAAAGCACGACTTAGGATATATATTAGATTTATATATAGCACTATTCTAACATAGGTATTTTGACACAAAATCGGACTTTTTCTGAAATAACATATCATTTTTTTACATATTTCGATTCTACGTCTCAAATTATGCCAGAATACCAAGTTTTGTAAAAATCGTACGAGTAGTTTTTGAAATATTAGCTCTCAAAATTTTAGCTCCTCAATGTTAATTGAATTTGGCAAATATTTATTAATATCTCTTTTTTTATTAAACTTTTTTGATTTTTTCTCTCACATTTCGAAATTTAGGTTCATTCCAAATAAAATTTACCCATTTTTTGTGTTTTATTTTTTAAATTTCTATTTTTAAATAATTTTTATAAATTTTTTCGAAAAAAATTTTGAATTATAACCTATAAAATTTTTACCATCACCTTAAAGTAGGTGTATTTTTAAGCATATCTGCAAAAAATTAGACTTTTTTATTCAAAATTTTCTAAGATATACACGAATTTACATATTTTCGAGTTTTGAAATTTGGCATCTTTTTTTTTGAGCGATAATAACGCCAAATGTGGTCTATGGATTTTTTTTACAGTGAATTGCCACAGCTATTTTTAACCTTAAATTTCAAGTAATATTTTACAGAGAATTAATTATATGACATTTTTTCCCTCAATGAAGCGTAATAAATATTTATTAATACTATATGAAAAGCTATTTTTTTTTAAATTATAGATGATATTATTCAAATTTTTAACTATTTTTTTAAAATTTCTCTCTATCTTCCTTTTTTTTTAAAAAATAAGAGTAAATTTTTACCTTCGGCGTTTTATCGTCTGCTACTTTACTTCGTTTAAATCGAATTGTCTAAAACTGAGAATTTTTGTTTTATATTTATTTAAATTTTATGACATTAACTGCATAATTTATTTCTAAACAAACTGTTGCTTTTGAAGTGGTTGAAAGAGTGGTTGATACTATCATCCACATTTTTAAAGCACAGTATATTTTTATAGAAACATAAGATTTAGAATAATCATTTTTATAAAAGTCAAATTATGATATAAACATACAGCCCCCTCTAGAGACTGAATTAATGGAAGTTCAATGGTTATGTAGAAATGATCTGCAGCTACTTAATGGCTGGATAAGTCAGCAGATTTCTGTGGACAAGTAAGAATAATTATATAAACGCCACCCAACATTCTGGATTCAATTAACAACGAGGATACGATGTTTATTAAATGAATTTAAGAAGTTTTAAAACATAAAAAACCAACTCATTTTTATCCTAAAATGTATTTTTGTGCATAGCGTATTTTCATTATATCCTTAAAATTCTAATTTAGAATGTAATTGTCAAGAACTGAATTCCTAATCATCAGTAATATAATAAGTAATTATTACGGTTATTAATAAATCCTTCTTATAAAGTAATTGCAAATATTTCAAAAAACTTTCTGTCTGAATGCAAATATTTTTCTGTGCAAATATTTTTAATTTTATATTAATCAAGATTGCACACGATATTATTTATTTGCACTTCAATTCTTACCGTCAGTTCCAGTAGAAGTTACAAATCAATTATATTTAATTAAGGATTGGATTATTTAATTATGGCAAAGCACACGAGGGCTATCTGCCTAAAGGGAGGGATGCCTTCGTGGAGGACTTTCTAAGGTAAACTGGCTCGTATACACGTTATACATGGGGAAAACCACGAAAACGCCGATGCGGCCAGCCCGTTCGCGAGATTCAAACCTCGGACCGAACTACCAATGATCAGCGTATTTACCGCTCGGCCGCTGGTGGGCTATTTAATTAGAGAATGACCATCTAAGTTTAGAAACAGCGTACCGTAACAGCAATTCAATTATTGGTGCCGTAACTTTCATGTTACTCCCGATTGGCAAGCTACATGATTTTAATGAGTATTCGGGTTTTGCTAGTAACTTCCCTTGGAAATCGCGCTTAAACTAGGTTAGTTGTTTATTTGAACATAGAAAGAACATGGGAGCTATTGATTAAGATGCTTTCATAGAGAACCTAGAAAACTACGAAAACCAACTATGCAGCCTGGGTTAGACTTCGCAACAAACAATTAGTATTTAACAATCTTCAAATGCTAGGCAACTCGTGAGGCTCCAATTTAATATTTTATTTGTAAATATTTAAAATATTGTTGTATTCTTAGACAAAAAAGCAGAATTTAAGTTTTGTTAACTTGTTAGTAAACTATCAAGCCGTAGTGCAAATGAATATTCAATTTTTTTTTGCAATAATTGTATTCACTTATGAGCTAAAGAAGGAACGTTCTCGGAAGTTTAAAGAAGTGTTTAAATCCAGTGATATTACGTTTGTCTTACAAGCTTAGGATCAAAACGATTCTGCAATTGCCCGAGTAGTTGACTTGTAAAGGGCTGTGAATTAAGCAGATGACCTTTAATCTTACGTTTTCAGTCAGAAAACGTATTCCAAATGTCTTGTATTGCATGACAATGCATCTTTTCATTATTCAATAACCAATCGGAGAACCGCTTGTGCTCCGAAAATAAGTATGTGTACTCAATTGTCCTGCATGTTCTTTAAATTTGTCTTCTTATGATTTTTTCCTCCCCAAAACTAAAGGCCTCTCAAAGGAACGCTTTTTAACATTGAAGAGACAAAAAGAGTATGAGATCTACTTTTAGAGGCATGTGAAAAACAGATCTCTACAAGCCTTCTCTTCCATTACATGTTGTGCATTCAAACAAGTAGTTGCATCAGCGTAAATTCGATAATCTATTTTTTGTTACACTCTTATTACTTTATTAACATACAGTGAATATATACTAAACCTTTTACTTCAGCTTCAGTAATTCGGAATTTTTGACAAAATTGTTGTCGGAAATAGGACTTAGAAGATAAGTCAAATTGAATATTTCGATAATTCAATAAATTCATGGTCGAAGTTTCAATATTTTATTTCGGAGGGAGGGGAAATTTTTTCAGTTTTGGTCCAATATCCTAAGTATATTTGCTTCGATTCTTTATTTTTTCCATAAAAGTGAAAATCTTATGCATGGTATACATATAACGCATAGCTTCAAATTAAAATTTAATAATATACAGGGTGGCTATAATTAAAATTTCACTTTGAAACGGTCATAAAAGGAAAACTACTGGATCAAATGTTATCAAACTTTGTAACCGTGTAAAGGATGTCATGGGAATTTATTTTCTGCGAAAAAACGGAAGTTGGAAACCTTACCACCAGGGGAAAATGGTGCTGTATGCAATATTGTTAAACGAAATATGGGTCGGAATCTAACTTAACCTTTTGTTACACGGGTTTAATATGTTGTATACCCTTAATAAACTTTGAAGTAGGCAAATTACCATTTAAAGGCGTTAAATTCGATAAAAGTTGAGTGCGCCATCTGTGTAAGTGAGAAATTCGTCCGTGAAAACCACGAATTAGCGATTAGAAAATGTGAGATCGCAAATCACTCGCACAAGTGTGTACAATCTGGAAATCGTTTTCTTACAGATCGCTAATTTGTAATTTTTGAAGCCTGAATTCGGCACTAAAACATGAAGATACTGATTCAAAACGCTTTTAATTCGATTTGGGCCAAAGAAATCTCCTCATGTTATCTATCTAGTTCCATTGCATTCTCCTACTGCATTCGATTGCATAGCAGTCATTCCACACCGTTTAGTGTTGAATGACAACTAGTATTATAACTCATTAATTTACAAATTTTCACAGGACTAGTTTTCTGGTTTTACCGAACCATCATCTTCAGCTGCAAAACCGCAAATGAACAAGAGCCTGGACAAGTAATCAAGTGGCGCCATCTGTTGGCGAAACCAGAACTAAAACATATTTCTCTAAAAGCCGAAGGCAAATTTGGATGGAATTAGGATCGTTAACTAGAAAGAAAGATTTTTATGAATGTGAAAATGCCTCTAGAAAATCCAGTCTCCAATGGAAATTTTTTTGAATAATTTTGGCAGCAGAAAAATTAAAAGTGTGATTTTCGGACCAACAATGTTGAGCAACAGAAGACTGTGTTTCCTTTTTCTAAATATGCCTCATGTTCTTTGAGCGAAATTTTAAGGCTCTCTTAGTTTGGCCATGTAAATTAATACCGCACTGGCAAGGAATCCTATAAAATACCCCAGGAATTCATATCCGGAATGGGGTCCTTGAGTATAAAGTTGGAATTTTATTGATGGGAGAGTAACAACCCTAAAGTTAAATTTCTGCAAAATATGCAACTTATAGCTAATTGATGGAAAGAAGGAATGACAACAGAATTTTTATATCTCCTAAATAAGAGTGTGGCTTTTAGTGTGTTGAGATGAGATTTATTTTGGAAACACATTTGTTTCCAAAAAATATTACCTGCATGGGAAGCCCCTCAGTCCCATCCTGGCTGATATCTAGCATATTATGAATCAAATTGTTTGAAACTTTAAACTTCCCGGCATGGTTCCGCTACGTAGACATACTTTTACCCTGTTTGAAGGTAATAAAGATGATTTTAAATAGAGTTCTTTCAACAATGATTCTATTGATCCTGCTATTCATTC